GCGAGTGTGTGTGTGTGTGTGAGAGAGAGAGAGAGAGAGAGAGAGAGAGAGAGAGAAATATGTCAAATCATTTTTTTCTTCATAATTAGCCATTTTTTGCCAATTGGCTGGTTGCAAAACAAACAGCAATGATTCTCTTTCAAACATGATCTAATGCAATAGAGTTTTGTGACACAGAAGTTGGAGAAGTGACACAATGGAGCTAAAGGTCACTTTTGGAGAACGAAAAGCACTAAATGGACTGTGATTCTGTAGACTTGCGTATTGATTCTGTAACATGCCCATAGTAAGCTCAAAGCTTCAAGCTGTGAGGGCAGAATCAGCAGATCCTTCTGTTGACTCATCATTAATCTGAAATCTGTGTGTCTTTGTGCAGGTTCTGGATGGAGCGAGTCTAGATGTGGACTTCATATTGATTCTGTAACGTGCCCATAGTAAGCTCAAAGCTTCAAGCTGTGAGGGCAGAATCAGCAGATCCTTCTGTTGACTCATCATTAATGGAAATCTGTGTGTCTTTGTGCAGGTTCTGGATGGAGCGAGTCTAGATGTGGACTTCTACTTACAGTCGCCCAGCGGTCACGTTATAGCCTCTGACTACAGAAAATCTGATGGAGTTCATGCGTAAGTTTTACCCACAATCAGTTTATTCGTACACACTGAGCTAATTACTTCCCGAGTAACCGTTTTTGACCTTTCGTTGTTTTTTTCTATGTGACTTTGTCAGAGTGGAAACAGAAAAGGGAGACTACATGTTCTGTTTTGATAATACATTCAGTGCGGTTTCTGAGAAAGTCATCTTCTTTGAGTTGATTTTGGACAATATGGGGGACGGCGAGGAATCGGAGGACTGGAAAGCATACGTGCAGGGAACAGACCTTCTGGACATGAAGCTGGAGGATATCATGGTAAGAAAAACACTTTTAGACGAGAGTGTCTCAGTCAGTGCCTAATGTACAGTACCATTCAAAAGTTGTTTTTTTTAATGAATGAATGACATTATTATTACTTTTATTCAATAAATTGATCAAAAGTGACAGTAAAGACATTTATAATGTTAAAAAAAATTATTTAATTAAATGCTGTTTTTAATATTTGCAAAACTGTCAGTGTTCAAATACCAGAAACATCAAGGAATCTTTCCACGTATGGAAGAGAATTTAATAAAACCTCTATATATCTACCTATCTACAGGTGCATCTCAATAAATTAGAATGTTGTGGAAAAGTTCATTTATTTCAGTAATTCAACTCAAACTGTGAAACTCGTGTATTAAATAAATCCAATGCACACAGACTGAAGTAGTTTAAGTCTTT